GAACGACTTATTACATGCTTCTATAGCGATATCAAATATTACTACAGACAGTTTTTGTTAGGTCGGAGGTCATGGTTGTGGTGAACGACTTATTACATGCTTCTATAGCGATATCAAATATTACTAAAGACAGTTTTTGTTAGGTCGGAGGTGATGGTTGTGGTGAACGACTTATTACATGCTTCTATAGCGATATCAAATATTACTAAAGACAGTTTTTGTTAGGTCGGAGGTCATGGTTGTGGTGAACGAGTTTATTACATGCTTCTATAGCGATATCAAATATTACTAAAGACAGTTTTTGTTAGGTCGGAGGTCATGGTTGTGGTGAACGAGTTTATTACATGCTTCTATAGCGATATCAAATATTACTACAGACAGTTTTTGTTAGGTTGGAGGTGATGGTTGTGGTGAACGACTTATTACATACTTGTAGAACTACACTTAACAACAAACAAACCATACCAATCTTATCACTCTTTTCTTTATGTAAATAAATCAGTGGATAAGGTTGAGGTCAACATAGTGCATTATTTATTATGAAATTTTATAAACTTGTCAAATGTAATTAACTTGTGCCTTACAAAATAAACACAAATAGCATGTTTTAGCCGTTTATGGATAACTGAAGTTTGATTATTGTATATAAATGTATCTTACCATCCAATTCGCTGCACTAATTTTATTTATTTTATTGGATATAGCACTTAACTTATTGATGGCAGTTTTTAACTATATTCTGTAAATATGAGGCACTTCATTTCAGTTTTTAACCACATTCTATAAATCTGAGGCACTTCATTTCAGTTTTTAACCACATTTTATAAATATGAGGCACTTCATTTCAGTTTTTAACCACATTTTATAAATCTGAGGCACTTCATTTCAGTTTACTTCACTTCTTGAGTCTTTTTTGGATAACTGCATTTGCCTAATATAAATAACAATTTGAAAATATTTTACAGAATCTGATACTAAACACAACCTTCATTTTTATTTTATTTACTACCATTATTTGTAACAAGAACCTTTTTTGTGTAAGTAACATTGTTTTGTAACTAAGTGTCTACATCTATAAGGGTTATGTTCACTTATGTAAATACATCATCTGGCACTGAGCATATCAAATCCTCCGAAGATGTAGTTAGTGGCTAAAAGATTCAATCAAGTTGCTTGATTTGTTACTTAGACGCCTCAATATGCTGAATAATTCTAAAAAAACATCAAGTCATGCTCAAACCTTGCATTGCGAGGTCGTTTAAACTTTTCTCTGTCAAATTATGTTAAAAGAACATAGAATAAATTACTTCAAACAATCGTATTTTTGTTCGAAATCGTATTTTTGGAATCTAATATGGCTACATGAAGATTCTGTTGAAACAAAAATAGCTTTTATCTGTCGAAGTTTAACTAGAGGACGTTCCTCTATATGTGAGATGGATAACTGATATGTGTAAAGCCAGAGTCTGAGTGCCTGACGTTAGAGATGTCAACCTTGTTTCTCACCAGAGGTCAAAAAAGGTATTGTTGTTTGTTTACGCATATGCTTAATTTTCTTGTAGTTATTTGCCATTATTATATTTTATTTTGCACGTGTACTAATTTAACAGCATATACAAGGATATTTTATGTTTCAAACGCGGTCTTAAAAGAATGCTCCCCAGTGTTTTAGCGGTAAGTCTGCAGGCTTACGATGCTAAAAATTGGGTTTCAATACCCGTGATGGGCAGAGCACAGATAGCCCATTGTTAGGCTTTGCGCTTAGCGAGAACCAAGTCAAACTTCAAAGAATAGTGTTCTTACCTGAAAGTTTTTACACAATCTGTTGCCATAGCAAATTAATATGGTTTAACTACTATTTTGTAAGTCAAAGCAGAATCATTTCTAAGATTTTATTTATGCGTGTATTTATATTTCACTACAGTATAAGATAAAAGGTATTTCTATTGCGCATGTCTGTTGATTTGTAAGTCTCGTGCATGAGGTATTCGTAATGTTGTAAAAGTCTAACTATGGATGAACTCAACGCTTATAATGTCCCATAAAATCAAACACTATTAAATAAGTATTGATCTAATATCTACTTTGTGTGGTTTTATAGAAATACCTCAGTGGCTGCTAATATTATTACCAGAACAGTGGTATATCCATACTTTATTGGAAACAAACGTTACATTTAAACAACAACAAAAAGCAGATACAGGATACTGTACGTATTTTGTTTCGTTTTACCGAGGGGTAAGTATTTAAGTATCTGTTAGTTACCAATGACTATATTATATTTATCGTTCAGAGGACAAAATCCCAATAGAAAGGAAGTATTAACAATAAAATACTAATAATTGTTATCCATATTGAGCTAATTATCGTGATTCTATGGATCAAAGTTAAGCTAACAATAAGATCATCTTATAGATTATTATATCGCAAAAACTTAATAGTTTCACTGACCAGTTTTAATTTTTTGTCAGTAAAAAATAGAAAACAATTAATCACATTCCTTTTTTGTAAACTAAATACAATCTACAACAATCTTCTCAAATAGATTGTATTAGCACATGATCTAAGTAAGAAATACATATAGAGAAACAAGTAGTATAACATAATATATTATACTGATGTTAGGGATACTTTAGTACATATACGTGCTTGACATGAATATGTAAGACTGGCACAGAGAGGTAGGCAGATAGTGTATTAAAACCAACAGAACCTATTATACTGATGTTAGGGATCGTCCAATACTTGACACGAGCATGAAAGACTGGTACAGAGAGGTGGACAGATAGTTTAAAACCATAAGAACCTATATTGATCTTAATGATCGTTCAAAACGGATTGTATTTGACTATTGTAAATAACAGAAAGATACATAAACAGACGTATAAAGTGCATAAAACCAACAGAACCAAAGTTGACACTAGCTATCGCTATCGTTTGTTTGTTATGAATTTCGCGCAAAGCTACACGAGGGCTATCTGTGCTAGCGATCCCGAATTTAACAGTGTAAGACTAAAGGGAAGACAGCTAGTCATCACCACCCCCGCCAACTCTTGGGCTACTTTTTTACCAACGAATAGTGGGATTAACCGTCACATTATAACGTCCCCACGGCTGAAAGGGCGAACATGTTTGGTGGGACGGGGATTCGAAGCCGCGACCCGCAGATTGCGAGTCGAACGCCCTAACCACTTGACCATGCCGGGCCTATCGCTGTCGATCCAAATGGATTGTTAAGTTTGATTTCACTTCTCTGTACTCTCAACCAGGCTAGCTTTAATTTCTTTAATAAAATGACTTGTACAGATCCAATGCTTCACAGTCTCTCTCTTATTAATCTTATTGCTTTCGAGTTATTAATTCTGTTTCATTTTTAATTTCTA